GGGAGCACAGCTCGGAGTATCCTGAGGACAGGGACGAGAAACGGAGATGGTTTAGTCTCACAGAACATAAGACTGAGGTTACAAGAATAAAGAAGAACACGGACTCACCCTCTGTGTTGATCCGGTGTTTGAGAGACGAAGGGTCGGCCCACCACTGCAGAGAGAAGTGTGCGACCTCAGCGGTGCACTGACCCAGCGAGACACTGCCTCACTCAGCCCCCCCCCAAACAAAACCCGCTCCAGCTGGACGACAAGAGAGAAAACATGTTATGTTTCAGCCTTACTTTCTTATGTTTAGGTGATTTTATTTCATGCCGTTTACATTTTGTGATCAATACACTTAAAAAACATCTCTCCGCTGTTGTCAGTGAGTATTTTACAAAGACTGAAACAGCGCCCCTCATAATTAATCTGTGGTGAAACACAGTATTGCACGCTACACTCACTATACTACACCCACAGTGCGCTGTGTCAGGGACATGTCAAGGAAAGCCCGCCGGCCTTCCCTTCCAACGATTTGATTGGTCGGAAGGAAAGGCCTGACGTACGTGACGCTGCGTCTCAACTGCCATAGTGACAAGAGGCAGATATGATATCTCCCTTCTACACAATATAATATTTGCAAGTATAGAGTAGTGGCTGGTGTTTTTAGTCAGAAACAGGTAAACTGTAGTGTACACTTACTACTAATAAATAACTTTAGTGCCGGGTTATTTATTTGCACTGTAAGAGACTGTATATTAACACAGCCTCTGTCGGTCTTCTCACTCTCACTTTCCCGCCACATCTGGCCGAACAATGAAACCTAGCCAAAGTAGCTAGATAGCATTAAACATATAGCTGCTAATGCTATCAATATAATGCCAAATGAAGAATGATGGTCACAGAAAAGAGTGTAAGCCAAATTAAGTTAAAATAAATATAATAAAAAAAGAAGATGGGCCTAAAGGAAAATAATTGTCATCCAGGCAGCTAAACTCAAACAATATTTAGCTGTTCAGCATTGGCAAAACATATTTATTTAAGTTAAAAAATATTTATTTAGACCCCTTGTTCACATTATGACAATATCTGCTCACTTTGTTAAAAACGTTTTGTTTCTGTAACAACTTACCTAGTGTTAGACTCTCCTCCGCTGACACATCCATCCTCCACAGCAGCCAGAGGTGAAAAGGGCAGTTTGGATATTTGATGGACAGTTGAAAAATGATACATTTGAAATAACTCAACCGTGATTGGGCAGGACAGTGGACACACTAATGTGTTGGCTATGTGCATTTTATTTGACACATGTGTTTGTAAAATGCTTCAGAAATGACACTGAATGTGTTGAATTGCTTTTGACACAGCAGTGTGTTAAAAAAATGACACATTACTTCTAAGAGTGTAGAAGATCTCCAGCATCTTGCTGCACACGTGGAAGGATCTCAGCTTCCTCAGAAAATAGAGTCTGTTCATCCCCTTCTCGTACACAGCGTCAGTGTTGATCCTCCAGTTCAGCCCATTGTCTAATGGCGCGTTTCCACTGCAGGCCTCGCTCGGTTTGGTTAGGCCTTATTAGGCCTGGCTCACTTTAATGATGCGCTTCGATTACAGTTTAGGAACTGGGGTAGTTACTATAGTAACGCAGTGTAGGCGGAGCCGTGACGTCATCTTCAATGAGAGCCCCAGAAAAATAACACAGCCGTTAGCTCTTAGCACTCAGAGCTCACATCTCTTCATATCTCTTCAGAAACTAGACAAAAGTTAAACAAGTACAAACCACAGACTGTCTGTGTCATGGTGAATACAGTCGCAGGTTTATTTATGTCTGTATTAGGCCGTTGTTGTGAGTGTGGACGGTCGGAGCATATATAACGTTAGCTTAGCCAAGCTCCATTTAGAAAACACGCATTTTAAAAGGGTTTTTCGCCTGCCGTCTGTCTGCAGACTTGTCAAAGCATTAATTCATGGTTTTTACTAACCGGTATCAGTATGTTGTTACTTCGGCATCATTTTGAAACGTGTATTACAATTAAATCACGGTCAAATATGTTCATCTTGTTGTAGTTGTAGCCCCCTTACCAGCGAAATCCAAATCCAGTTTTGGACAGTCTGCCGTGGTTCCATCCCATTTCAAGTGCTGTTCGAGGCTCGGCGTAACCCTCGGAGCACACTCTCCAATCACAGAGCTTGAGGACTATCACGGGGTTTGTCAAACAGAGCACATGGTGTAGTCCAAACGATAGCTGGGGATTCTGGGTAGTGTAGTGTCTTCTGCCATCCTTTACTCCGAAAAAATATTTGTTTCTCCGAATCGAAGGGGAAAAATACAAAAGCATTGCACACAATTTAAACCAATCAATGTTGTGTAATTAACAAAGATAATCTGGTGTTTTTTAGTCGATGAGTAGTGCAGATATCACTGTAAAATCAATCGACAGTAAGGGGAATACTTACTTCCGGGTGTACAATTCTCCGTTATCCAATGAGAATGGACGCTCACATTGCCTTTAAGGGCAGCCGACACAAACGAATGCTGTGCTTCCATGAGCATCAAATCCCACCGCAGATGGGAATACATTGCAATCAGTTGAAAGCTATTTGCGTCCCTTTATGAAGCTGAAGGAGCCTAGCAGCGTCACAACTGCACGCAACGGACACCGACCAAACGTCGCTCCTGGACGATTATGGAGTGAGAGTGTGTTGGCCAATCACATGAGTGCGCCCCCACGAGGGTACATTTCTTGCGTTCATGACGTAGCGCTTCATGTACGCATTTTGCGCAGTCCGGAGCTGACAGGCGCTAATGTCAGGACACCTCCACTCTCAGTAGCCTACAGCGCCACTTTCCGAACAGGAAATGCACGTGTAGCCGGCGCTACTGTTTTCTGAGGATTAGCTGTCAGATCATTTCTTCACGTGGCTGGGCCGCCACTGGCCCTTTAAGACACACCCCCCTTCTTTAGTCAGCTGGCCCTTCCATATAAGGAAAACGCGCAGCTGTACGTAGTTCAGCATCTCCCGCTACACTTTAAATGCCCACTCACTCCTCACCCAAATCAGCTGTGACTATTACGAGTGTTCTTGTTCCAGTTATCGTTGTCTGGCTGATAGGCGTGTATTCCCCCTATACGAGGCTTCTTGACAGCCCCAGCAGAGACTGTGCAGAAGAATCACTTTTTAACTATCATTATGTGTGATATTGTAATTATTATAGTTATTCTCTCCTTGTCAGAGCCAGCCTTCAATCGTGGGACTTAGGTGTGTCGACTGGGAAAGCTGAATACGTTTTAATTGACTTTTACTTGATTATTTATATAATAAACGTTTGTAAACATTTGAACTTGAGGCCGCGTCCCTGCCCATCCTTTTATTCTTATCTGCGTGACTTGTCCTAAGGGCTCGTATTGGGGAACCCAGGTTAGCGTTAAGTATCCTAACCCCCTTTTATTATCGCCGCCCCCCCCCCCCCCCCCCCCCTCCCCGGTGGGGCAGGTCACACACGCAAATACAAGCCTTTATATTATTAAGGCACCGCGCCACTTTCCGAACCATTAATAAATCTTTGTGTACACAAAAACGGCAGGCAAAACCGTTTTAAATGTGTGTTTCCTGTATGGCGAATACAGCTGCTTTATTTATGTCTGTATGAAGTTGTTGTGAGTGTGGAGGGAGCAGCTACAGGTTAGCTTAGCCTGATCGATCAGTGCACTACGAAGCCAGTGCTAGAGTGAACTGTCAACGGGGGGAGCCCCGCCGGTCATTATCGGCTCTTAATAGTTTGATCGGTGCTCTCTATAAAGGCCGATCAGGAGAGCTGGATCTGATCGATATGGACATAAACGCGAGTGAAGTGTAACCGGACGCGAGAGAGAGAGATCAGATCAGCTGCTGAGTCTGATGGAGACACGCAGCTCTGCATGATCACCTGATGCTCCGCCCTCTGTTTAGCGAGCTGACCGGACAGCGCAAAATGCGTATATGAAGCGCCACGTCATACCCTCGTGGGGGCGCGCTTATAAGTAGAATCGGGTGAGCGTCAGGGGAGTCTAAAAAAACCCACACACGAATGCACAGCGATCCCTGCACAGAAAGCTGTTTGTGTTTGCAGGTGCAGAGGTTTTAAATGGAAAACAAATATGTGAGAATCAAAAATACATATGTAAACTTTTTTCTGTAATTGGATTTTATTTACATGTATATGAAACGGAACACATTTGTGTGTGCATTGAAAAACACAAGTGTGGATCCGGAAATACAAGTGTGAATACTTCTGTGTGCATGTGTGTATTATGTAGACCATCCAGAAAAACGCGGGCAAAAATCCTTGATTATGCGATCAAACATGCAGGGTTTTATGTGATTTTATGCGGTGAAATTGCGGAAAGTTGCGAAATATGCGGAAAAAATAATATTGGGCTGTCTTATTTATTTATTCTCTCTAACACTCCATTTCTCATTTTGGAGACGCCGTGACCTCAGCTCACGGCGGTGAGTTTTGTAAAAAGATAAAGAATGAGCATCACATTTTGCTGCAAATGATCATGATAACTAGGCCTACCTAAGGTTGACCTTATCAAAAGTATTTTTCAGCTGCTCTTGCACAGTTTACTTTAGTTACAGAAGGCTATCGGGTTCTGAATCTGAGCCTCAGATGGAGAGGTTAGACTGAGCTCAAATCTGATCATTTTACAGTCTTTAAATGGAGGGCGAGCAAGCGCGTTGATTATAATTGAAAGATGTAAAACATATTCAAAATAAATCATCATCCATATTATATTTTGCTGACCTGCAACTTGCACTTTATTTCAAACTGACCATTACATGGTTTCTACATGTGGCACGCTTAGAATCCGGTGCGCACTAGCCACAGTTTACGCGCTCCTCTCCAGACTGGGGCCAAACACTCCAAAAATAAATTAAGCATCTTTGAACAGACTTTGTAAACTGGGCTACCTGTTGCAAAAGAATCAAACTGCGCAGGGATTTCACAGGTGAGAAAACAGGAGCGCACCTACCGACTACAGTCAGCAGCATGTTGTCCAGCAGCAGAGCGATGAACACGATGAAGAGGCTCAGTTTCCTCGATCTTCTCTCCTCTCTGAGCCAGCTGAGCAAATTAAACTGCCGAACCGCATCTAATCTCCACATGGTGTTAGTCCCGAAAAGAGCAAGGCAACAGAACGGATGTCAAGTCTTCCTGGAGAGACAGTGATGGGTGGGTAACTTCAAAAATCCTTCCCGATGTCAAAGTGAGAGCTGTGGATGTGAGAGAGCTGCAGAGTGGAGTCTCACCTGAGATGAATAGCCAGCTGCAGGAGGAGAGAGAGAGAGAGAGAGAGAGAGAGAGAGAGAGAGAGAGAGAGAGAGAGAGAGAGAGAGAGAGAGAGAGAGGCTGCTAAGTGCCCCCCCCGCTGCTGACGTCACTCTTCCTTTGTATGCGGGTCCCCGTCAAACCTGCCTTCGAACACTCAAACCAGCAGCACCAGGACACAGGCTGATCAGCAGACCGGAAACACTGGGCTTCATGACCACCAGGGTCAGGAGGGTGGCTATGAAACTGCGATCCGTTACAATGACTATTTACATGTACAAATATGTAATAGCGTGGTAACAGTCCCACATTGTATTAGACAACAATGTAATAATGAATTAAAGACTCTGGTCAAAACTCAGGGATCTTCCCCCAAAGTTTAAAATAATGAAAGTAAAATTATGATTTACGATTAAAATATTTAAAAAAAACACCAAGGGGTGAGGGTATGCATATTAAAATATGTTTGAAGAGTTTTCCCCAACACTTGGCAATTGGCATTTGCGTCATGGATAGGTAGCTACGTCCGAACAGGAAACTGAGTTTACGGGCTGAAAGTGTCCTTAAAGGCATCATGTTGGCTCTAAATACATAAAGGATTATAATATGCTTACATGGAAAAAGAGTCAATGCAGAACAACCAAAGAACACAGCAATTGTAATCTTATGATATGCTTTTTTAAATGCTTGATGGATTCTACTTTTTTTTAAAGTAATTGTATTACATGTTTTTCAAGGCAGATAAATAATACAACAATACGGTACAAAGACAAAGCTCACACACCAGCCACACTAGCACAGGGTCTTGCATCAGTACATGGATTACTTAAAAACAAATATAATTGAATTATTACCACTATTTAGTTAAATATATGAACAATGTAGATGTGAGTTTGAGGTTGAGAGAGAGAAAGAGAGATGTTGGGAATGAGTTTCATTCCAAAAGGTGAAAGCTGCCTGTCCTCAGATCGTCTTTACACAGCAGCTCCATCTGCTGCTCTGCTTACAACACTACCACACTCAATCCTATTATATATGGTCACATTAAGGACAAGGCGACAATAAAAAGGACAATCCAAATCAGAATCATAACTCCTTTATTAGTCCTACAGCAAAGACATTTACAGTGCTACAGCAGACTAGGCATAGGTAAAACGCTTGCAATAATAAAAGAGAAAAGCACAAATTAGTAATAAATAAAGATAAAGAGTACAACCATGGCATCATTTTAAGAAAAACTAAGTGACATAAATAACATATTAAAGTATTGAGACCTTACAAATTATATATGTTCACATACAAATGTGCAAATGTATTTAATAAAAACTCTTATAGTCTATTGGGCTAACCCTGGCACATTTTCAGCAATGACTATTAATGTGCACGGTCTCTGTCAAATAAATGGATACAAACAAACATAAATACAAATTGGAGTGGCAGGCAGCATGTGAATGTTTCATATTATGCAGCTCTTTGACCATTATATAAAGCAGATCATCTCTCAATCCCCGTTTCCATACTACATCTTTACTCATATTTGGACCAAATATTTGCAGACTTGTCACCAAACGTTCTTAATGGAGAGAAAGTCTGTTGTTGTACAGTATATTTATAGGAAACAAAAAGACACAACATGATTTCATCAAGCTTCTTTTTTTTTTGCATGATCAGAATATCTTGACAATTGTGCAGTACACAACATCACTTTCTGTCTAACTGCATTCAATTGTTATTAAGTGAAATATAAAAAAACCACATACTATTATCATAAGTCTGTTAACCTGGTTCATGCTGGGAGAATTTTTCTACGGGGATGTGACAGTTTCCTAACTTCCCTGTCTTGTGACTATGACCTTCATTTTATCATTCTCATGGACTACGAGTCATTTTACATCAGGGGCCGTATCCATGAAGCTTCAATTTCAAAGAGATGCTCCTAAGGACAAAATTATAAGAAAAATCTTAAAATTAATAGTGGAGGAGTACATTTCAAAAGACCAAGAATTAGGAGCATGATTAGATGCTGCTGGAGAGGATGATGTAATGTGTGTGGTCCATCTCAACAGAGAAGCACTCATAGATGATAGCTGAGTCATTTCCCCCCGGTATTACCAAATACGTTAATTTCTAAAATTAACAACATTTTAAAAATAAATCTATCAGCATGTTAAAAGGCTACTTCGTCCAACACCATGTCTAAAGCAACCCGGTATCACGGCAAGACGTGAACATGTGACGATTTTCCATGCTGGGAGACGTGAAGATGTCACGATTTCGTCCCTTCAAACGTGACAGCTACACGGTATTGTTAACCCATGTTAACCAGTGGAGAAATAACCAGAAATACCAAGCAAATGCTACCCCGACGTAATGATTTATTTTTTAATAGTCACACTCGATTACGCCGATTTTCTTGTTGCCCCAGCTGGTCGACACCTCTTTTAGCAGAAACAAAGGCTACATTAATGTATTAAATGGATGTTAATCCGTGCGTGTGGATGTGGAATTAACGGACGTGACGTTGTGAGATTGCGTTGCCAGGCAACAGCTTCGGTTCATGTTAATTTACAAACTCTTCAACTACAACCGTAGTTACATTTAAAAAGAAAGCCTCACGAAATACTTTAATGTAAATTAAAATGTAAATGTGAAGGAATGTGTGTATAACAAAATACATCCGTCATAAACTAAACCGGAAACAGACGTAGGCAAGATCCTCAGCTCGATGATTGGTTGGTTTAGCCGCAATGCACGCTGGGATTTGGTGTTTATGCGATGTGAAATCCGATTTTTTTTTTTTAAATAATACATTATTCCGAGTGTGTTTTCTTTTCTCTTTGAAAGTCATCACATAACGGCATTGTAATACAGGGTTCGGCTGCATTAAATATTACATATCTGCCGTAGTTCTCTATGTATAGAGCCCTGATGAGAAGACAGACAAACATGAAGAACTGCCGCCAAAACTGAAAACGTGACGTGGATCATAAATATATAAGCAATTAAACAACATCTTACATTTCTCTTCACACAATGCGTCTCCTTGCAGTATCAACACTAATTCGGCTGACTTTTATATTTGATTCAATTGGTAGATAGGCTGTATTTACACCATAACGGTGTACAGCTGATAGAAAGGGACAGGGTTACGTCACGTTTTCAGTTTTAATTCCACATCCACACGCATGGATTAACATCGATTTAATACGTTAATGTAGCCTTTGTTTCTGCTAAAAGAGGTGTCGACCAGCTGGGGCAACAAGAAAATCGGCGTAATCGAGTGTGACTATTAAAAAAAAAATCATTATTATATTAATATTGACAATAACAACCGACCGTCGGGGTAGCATTTGCTTGGCATTTCCGGGTATTTCTCCACTGGTTAACATGGGTTAACAATACCGTGTAACTGTCACGTTTGAAGGGACGAAATCGTGACATCTTCACGACTTCCAGCATGGTACATCGTCACATGTTCACGTCTTGCTGTGATACCGGGTTGGTCTAAAGACACTGATTTAATGATAAGGCTGTTTTCCCTATCAATTTAATTAAAATTTTCAATTTAATGTCCTTTGCTCGTAGAAGTTTCCTAAATCACTCCTATAAGTTCTGACTCCTTGATACATTTTTAGAGGCCAAGCAAGGAGCACTGAGAGTATTCTGAGTATGTCAGTGGATACGACCCAAGCTGCTAACAACCACTAAATAAGACTAAACACAATCACGCTGAACATTAGCCACCTTTAGCTTAGTGGTGGTGATGTGCAGCCATGAGACCATGGTGTTAATATGTGGAGAGTATACTACTGAACATGACATGTAAGTATCTTAGATGAGTTTGCCACAGAGCTTATTTTCTGCACTATTCCGGAATCCAATTTTAAATTCCAATTGCTGTTAGTCGAGGGATTCCTTCGGACGCTTACTTCGGAGTCTACACAAATAAATCATCATTGCACCACTCCATACTTTGAAATTGTGCTTGGACAGAGACTGGTCAAGGGTATTAGACTATTTTTCCAACAATTTGTCAAACTCACATTGCTGGTATTGACTATTGGTTTTTATTTCAGAACTATTGTGGTGGATTGCATTTTTATCTACAGGCTTTTAGCATTTTGGATAATGTGTAAGTATAAGCTACACAACACACCATTGTAATAAACTCTGCCGTAATATGTGTCTATGTGAGCGCTTACATTTGAATTAAAAACAAGACTGAATTTAAAGGAATTTTATTACATTTTCCTAAATTAAAAAACAAATCCTGAATTCTGCCTTTTATCAATCCTCTGTAATACTTTAGGCACAGTGCAACTATTAGAGTACTCATAATTAGTGCTTGGCAAGATACTGCAGCCAGATATGCAGTTGTATGAACAGCAGAGGTGGGACTGAGGCCCAATCCCAAACCGCCCCCAACACCCTACCCCTACACACTACCCCTACACCCTACCCCTCCGTTCGCGCGGAGGGTCCGCCACATTAAGTGCTGTTCCAAACCAAACAGTGTGGAGCGGTGTGGAGGGGGAGTGGGCTATCAAGCCCTCAAACAGCGAGTCTGCAGCGATGCTGACTTGAGACCGGTCTCTACCTGACCGGAGTCACGCTGTGTGTGTCCGTCAGGAAACAAGCTGTTAAAAAGTAGTTCCAGCAAACATCCACTGATAAACTACGATGTTAACAACCTCATGATGACCTCATATGTTTTTAACTTAGGATCGTACCTGTGTTTAGTCTAGAAAAAGGTAAATGTGTGCATTTTATTATAAAGTTGTGTATATTTACAGACCGTTGCAAAAACTAAGAAGCTTATAAACATCAGGTCTAAAACTAAAAGAGCTTTACAAAAAATGAAAGATGTTTGGAGTTTTATTTGAGTTATTAATTTACATTTTTTGTCAAAAAGATGCTGATTTGAAACCGTTGTTACATACAGTTACGGCATTTCCTGTTTCTGCCGGAGAGAGGGGAGGCCGTCCCAAAGCTTGCTGCTGTATTTACTCGCTCCATCTGACAGGAGGAGCCTCATGTGTCACTCCACGGAGTTCACTCCGTCACGGAGGGGTAGGGTGTAGGGTGTGGTTTGGGATTGGGCCCAAGTCCTGTTTTGCATGTAACAAGTAAGTCTCAAGTATTTGCGCTCAAGTCCCGAGTCAAGTCCCAAGTCAGGATGGGCAAGCCCAAGTCTAAACTTTGAAAACCGAGTCTTTAACAAGTAATTATGTGCTGTTCACCAAATGTAATGACATGCAACAACAGAATAATACTATATTCAATTAACAAAAAATCATGAATGCTTTGACAAAATTGTATTTATTTGTTTAACAAGTTGCTCCTTACTAAAGAGTAACATAGCTAAATAATAATACAAAAATTAAATACAAAATCAGTAAATGCATAGTTGTTCCTTCTTGAACTGCAGATCAAACTGCTTTTTATTAGTCATATTAATTATTTAATACATTTTCTCTCATCTGATAAAGTAACATGTTTTTTTAGGGAACAGTAAAGATAGGCTACTGTGACGGTTTAATTCAGAAGGAGTTTAATTAATAAGATCTCTGATTAATTTGAACAGAATATGTATTTCCACTCTGTACAACATGTTATAAGGGACCCCACAATCAATTTTAATTTGAACTGTTGTTCCTAATCATTTCTAATGTCATTCACATATACATTCACACTGTGCTCGAAGCAGTATTAATGTTGTTGTTGTTGCAAGTTTTTGCCACAAGGTTGCGCCTATGAGTAGAAAAGAGAAGAAGAAGTAGTGGTGGCACATCACATAATCTGCTCCTGTATCTGTATCAAATGCATTCATTGATGCTACCAAATGAGACAATACAAATAAAAGTAGTAAACAAATAATGGTTCTAATAGTAACATTAAACTTGAATTACTTTACATATTCATTTGTTAATACGTGAAAAATGTGTACGTGCTTTGTATTGGTCTGCATACTAGAGTAGAGTAAAATGTGTGGAAATCTCAGTTCATTTTTAGGGCTGCGCGATTATGGCCAAAAGTATGCTGTAAATCTCACGGTAAACAATTGGATCTTAACCACATTCGGTGTTATTATGACTGCTCAGCTTTATGCACACATACATTTAGCATGGTTTAAGAAACGGGCTCCGTGTTACAGGACGGGTCGGGGTTCTGCAGCTCCAAGGCAGAGACACACACTCACCAAGGACGAAAAACTATAGCCGGTCACAGAGATCTGCTATTTTAAAATAAAGTCAATACCATATCGACCCTAAATATAGTCTATATTAAGAACGAGAAAAGTTTTTACGTCGGAGGTGGGGTCTCGTTCTTTCATATGAGAGCTGTTCATTGACGCATGAGGACAAAATGGCCTGAGATTTTCTAGAGCAATACGTCACAGATGTCCCCGTCATGCCTGGCTGTCAGAGCAGAAGTACCCGTATGTACGCTCATAGAGCATGCGCAGTTGAAGCCCCGCCCCTCGGGCTCCCGCTCTCGGCTCACTAGAATGAATGGAGAGAGAAAATCTAGATTCGGCTTTTAGTGCATTTTACAACTTTAAGGAATGATTCTAATAAGGGCAATTTGACCCTCCAGAAAAACATGATTCTGCGATCGCAGAATTGACCGCATAATCAGCAAATGCCGCATATTTATCAAAAGGCCGCATAATCCCGCATTTTTCCACACAAAGTTGAGGGGAAAAAAAGTTAACTCGTCTTGACGTGAAGTGGTGATGATGATGACGCGACGTCATCAGCTCGCGCATCACAGAAGGTAAACAACACCGTAGAGTGAACGTGTGGAACTCACACGAGAGAGAAAACACCAAGATGAAAAAATCTAATCCATCTCATTTACCGACGAACATTTCTGCTAAAGACCGGGCAAAGCAGTACCCCGATGTCTTGCATGAAAGTGGGGGGAAACTATTCTGCACCCCGTGCAACTGTGTGTTGGAGCATAAGAGAACATCGACGGTGACGACCCACTTTGATTCATTCAAAGATTCGAAAATGCTTTCTGCTGCTGCGGACAAGAAAGCCAAACAACTCACGTTCACCGAGGCATCAACCTCCAAAACCCTTTCGAGGGCTACAAGAAACGAGGTGAGAAGCCTACAAGATTGAAGCTGGTCAGATAACGAACGAGTAAATGAAAACAGAATGAGGCGGATAAGTGTGTGTGTGTGTGTGTGTGAGAGTGTGATTAAAATAGCCCTATTGCTTTTACAATAAATAAACATTGAATGTGTTTAATTGAATAGTAAAAGGGTTTAACGTTAATGGCAGGTTGTGTGTGAGAGAGAATAAATAAGACAGCCCAATATTAAAAAAATTATATTTCGCATATTTCGCAACTTTCCGCATATTTCGCAACTATCCGCAATTTCACCGCATAAAATCACATAAAAACCCTGCATGTTTAATCGCATAATCAAGGATTTTAGCCCGCATAATCAAGGACTTTTGCCCGCGTTTTTCTGGAGGGTCTAGGCTATGACATAGTTAATACTGGGTAGTTTATTTAGTAATTACCCGCTGATTTACAGACATCTCTTTCCCCATGTTAGTCAATGGGAAAAAGTATTTCTGGGCCGGGTGACGTCACGGACTGATACGGAAATCGTAGTACCGCCGTTTGGACACAACGAATATTTTCCTCAGAGTCCGGCGCACTTCCTGGGGCTTGGATTACATGTTATGTCAATGTAAATGTGGATAGACGTAATTCACTCAGGCGGCGCAAATGACTTGAATGACGGGATTGACGGGATTGACGGGATTGAAGGGAGCCACGCTAATCGTGTACGCCAATCAGCCGTGAGATACTTCTGTCTGTATGACGTTGTTGTGGGTGTGGACGGAGCAGCTACAACGTTAGCTTAGCCTGATCGATCCGTTCAGCATTCAGAAAGCACGCATTTTAAAAGTGTTTTTCCTGCCGTCTTGTCTGCACTAATTCATGGTTCTTACAAACCGGTATCAGTATGTTGTTAGTTCGGCATGATATGGAAATGTGTATTACAATTAAATCACTGTAAAATATATTCATTTTGTTGTAGTTGGTATCTACATAGTATCTACATTGAGATAAGCCACGCCCCCTCGACAGCGCATCTTGTTTGAAAAACGCAGTAAACACAGCTGACAGCCGCGGTGAAACGAGCGATTAGAGCGATGAGAGCAATGCGATTAGAGCAATGCAATTAGAGCGATTAGAGCAATGCGAATATGTGAACGCACAATTAGGGGCCATTCAAATGCCGCAATTTGCCTTTTCTGTTAAAGACTCTGTATTTTGGTATTGGTATTTCCTGGTTTCTTTCATTTTGGGTGGCTCCGCGGTAAAAGCCGGAGCAGAGCTTTTAAGATAACGTTTCCTGAAAAAACTGTTAATAGTATACTTGACCTACTGTCAAGTCATGTGACTCTAGTCCACACCTCTGATCAACAGTATAGCTCTATAGATTCTTCATATGAATCATTTTTAAATATCACCCTTCTTCACTTGGCAAAAGCATTTGGCATATGCTCACTTTTATTATTTTGCTCATGCTTATAACCAAACAGCCAGCACAAAGAATGCTCTGAACAAGTTCCCACAGTCTCCTGTCTGGACCTGTGTCAAAACCAGGCCTTTGAGCTTGTACAGTTCTTGGATGAGGCTGAGATTCACTTGCTTACTTAGTGACCCTGTTCATTTTTGAATAACTCTACATTTCCCCTGCTGATGAACTTGATGCATTGGCGGTAGCAGCTTACAATTCGTGTTTGACCTAGCTTGAAAGCCATGGACATGATGGCCATGCCGCCAATGAGGAAGAGTGAGGTAAGCATGAAGAATTTAGGGTGCTTAGGTATAATATCGCCAAAACCAATAGTAGTGAGTGTGATGAAGCAGAAGTAGTAGGGATCAAAGCCCTTCATATCTGCTTCCCACAAGGGCAGAATCAAACCACCTAAGCAAATGTAGGCAAACACGATGAAAAGAATCAGGACAAAGGGTACATCCAGCTTTTCCATTCCATTCCCCAACCCTGTAAAGTCCCATATGGCATATCCTCTGGGTGGGGGGGGCAGCCGGTCTAGCTCTGGGCAGGAGAGGGTTCGGAGCAGTGGGCCCTTTCTTAGTAATTTCTCCCTAGCGAGAATTTTCTCAAAGATCTCTTTGTTGTTTTCTAGGTGTATGGACTTGTGCCGTACGTCCGCCTGGCTGTGCAGCACCTGGCGAATGTCAAGGGGTTCACGGACAACAATGTCCTGGCTAAAAAAAAAAGTACCTTCCTCCAGGGCCAGGTTGCTTGAGACCTCTTCTCTCTTTTTCCGAGCCTTCCAAGGTGACCATGAGTGGGAGCGGAGGATTTTGAAGAGGGCGTGAATGCGCACATAGGCTCTGGACATCAGAATGGCGAGGAAGTCGCCCACATCAAGGGTGACCAGAAGCATGAGGGGAACGCCCGCCATGGCATACAGCACACACACAACTTTACCTATCAAGGTGACTGGATAGATCTCCCCATACCCTGCAACAACAATGGACAAATGGACAGTTAGGAGTTGTGAAACAGGCAAACATTACTTCTTACCACAGCTATAACATTATGGATTCAGATTAATTGACTTAATGGAATGGAAAAAAAATTGCTTTAAAGGTCACCTATTGTGCAAAATCCACTTTTTCATGTCTTTTATACATAAACATATTTCCCCTCTGTGTAAAGAGATTCTGAAAGTTTCAGGACAAATTATTTGCTCACTTTTTGTCCTGATCCATTTCTATAAAAACCTGTCTGAAAATGAGCTGATCAAATTTTGGCCACTTTATGATGTCATAACGATTTTTTGGCTTGTGTAACCATTAGCCAATCACCAACCAAGGTAACCCCCCCATCTTATCACCTTCAGTGTTTCTGCTAACGGAGCCCCGCGCCCCCCCTGATATTCAAGTTGTTTTAATTTTTTTAATTTTCTTATTATATATATAGCACCAAATTGCAACTGAAGTAATCTATCTACGGTCACTTTTCACATTGAACATGTGCTCTTTTATTAAACAAACTTTCATTTTAAGTTGTGAGTTAAGAAACACTGATGCATTAATCAATTACATTACATTGCATTTAGCTGTCGCTTTTATCCAAAGCGATTTACAATAAGTGCATTCGACCAATAACAATAATCAACAGCTTCTCTCTCTGCTCCAGAGGATTAATATATATATATATATATATATATAATATATAAATCAACATGTTTCCGGACACAACCATAATAATGGGCAGACTTTGGAATTTAAAATATCAAAAGCACATAATGTTACTGCACCCTGTGTCATTTTGCTATCTCCGATTACTGTTGCATATTATTTTCTTGTGCTCAAACTGAAAAAAAACATGAATAAATAATAATACTAAAAATAAAACCTTTAACGATACAGTAAATGCAGTGGGGAAAGAAGTACTCAGATCTTTATTTAAAGTGGACCTATCATGCTATATTTGAAACATATATTGTAGGGCCATTTTCAAAATACCAAACAGATCCTGCATTTTAGCAATGCCTCATTTCGCTCTATTTGCTCTTTCCAGCCCTGTTTTTGCAGGGGGCTGATTCTGTGAGCTGCAGCGGACCACACCCCCCTGCAGGAGAGGGGACTTGGCAGTTACTTTGGCATTAGGGCAGGGATATCTAGATACTTTCCAAGGTTTGACATAATGAATTGTGCTACTTTTAAAGCAAGCAACGATGTTTTCAAATCTGTAATCAAAAAGCTCCTCAAAAACACTATCGAAGCAGTTCCTGCTGTTGCTACGTTAGTTCAAACTGTAACAACGGACTATTTTTCTTAGCGGATGCATGTCAATTTAAATCAATACATGCAACTATTTTTTAAATCAATAAAATCATTTTCTAAATCCATAAAAGCATTTCAATTAATATTGGGAGTCATGTCGTTACTTTGTCGAGAATGTGGCCATGTAATAAGCGGGATAATGTGCACATTGCATAATGTGCCTTCATACCGATCTAGATCCCTCCGCTTCGCGTCGGGCTCCTGATCAGCCTGTCGGTGTTCTTTTCCCCATAATGACCGCGTCGCTGCACATTATCCATTACATAGGATTATATAGTCATTATTCATTTGTTTTAAAGCAGGATGCGCAAACGCTTGCCTCGGGGTGGGAGAAAAAGAGCCACAGCAGAGAATAAACAGAAGGGCAACCATGGCAACCATGCAAGGGAAGTCTTCTTCGCTGCTTTTGTGGCAGACTACAGCACCACTTACAGGCCTGGCATATGTACTACAGCGTCTCTAGTGCTCCAGCAATGGCCGGCCGTGGCCCAACCTCTCATTCTCCTGATAGGTGGAGAATTGACCAATAGCCGTAGCGCCACTTTACTGACGTCAGTAAAGTGTTCAAATCTGGATCAGTCTGTATCAGATCCGTTGCAGTCCCGTTTTTAGAGATTTGTATATGGAGGAAAAGAGAGAGGGTTGTGTTTTCTGACACTTGGTGAGTTCCCTGACACACCGGGACACATATTCATGTATAAAAGAGGTACAAAAGTGCATTTTGCATGATAGGTCCCCTTTAAGTGAAAATAATAATACCACAGTGTTGACTCTGTGTCAAGTAAAAGTCTGGCATTCAACATTTTATTTGAGTAAAAGTGGAAATACTCAAGTAAAGTACAAGTACCTCAAAAATGTACTTAGGTACAATACTTGAGTAAGTGTACTTGGTTACTTTTCGACAGTGAGTAACTGTATTATCCTTTATACAAACAAGCAAATGGCATGCATGCCATGTGTCATAAAATACATGCCTTCCAATCAATCAACAAATGCTACTTTTTCAAACAATGGACATTCATGCAATAATACAATGGCAGATAAAAATTGATCTATATGCCTGGAAGCATTGCCTTGAACCCTCATACTCGTGGTGAAAAGATGAAGGAAGTTCCCAACTAAAAGGGCAAAACAGAAGACAATGTGCCTCTAACATCTAACATCCTTTAATAAGCTTTTTGTGGTGTTGTAAAAAGCATTCTCTTCTGAGAGTGCTCTCTCTTCAGTGAGTTGTGGGCTTCCTGTTGCTGCGAAGCCATTAGCCATTAGCTGGTGCTCCTTAACCACTTATAATGTATCTGAAAGTAACAGACATAGGCTACTTATGTATCTTCACATAGTTCTACGCATCAAATAATGTCAAGAAAAAGAGCAAGCTCGAGATAAATACAAGATGGAATAAGGAATAATATTAAATAACATAACAATAGTATGAAAAGTAAAACATTAACAAAGAAAATGTTCTGAAATAACTGACTTCTTCCTCTAGATATCTTCAGCTAGTTGGTTTGAGGTTTGAAGCTAAGACAGAGTCAACAGTTTGCCTGTGGGGGTCTGTCAGCCTGCACTTAGTGTTACTTAGAACTAAATGCAATCATGCTGATGTTAGCATTATAATTCATCTCGAGGGGGAACATACATTTATCTACATAATCACAATGCATGCAATCGATAAGAATACCTTATTTCAGTCTTAAATAAAGGGGTTGACCAACTGACCAAACAACCTGCAATCCCAAGAGCTAGCTGCTAGCCTGACTATCTGAATATCTTTGAATGCAAATGAATATGCAAATGTTAAAGTGACAAAATTAGTATTTGCTAAGATATTGGTTCACTAATTGAAAAAAATAAATGTGTTTGGATTCAATCCAATGTAGAAAACAACTCCAAGAGGCTGGAAGATGGACTATGCTTCAGCTAGCATTTAGCTAACATTTTACCAGTGCTACCCCAGCTGTGTGGCTTTGGTCCTGGGGGACTTTCTGTTGCTGACGTTACACAGGTTGGACCATTCGCTTTATGACCACCAGAATCGTTCACTTATCTCTGCCATGCTGGACCCAAGCATGCCCACAGACTGTAATCTCACAGGAAACACATATGGCTATGTATGTATACTGCATGGCAAAGGAGTGATATCAATGAAACTACAGGAGAGAGCTTGAATGTACCAGTACCTCAGTCTGTCTATAAATGTTGGAAGATTAAAAGGTTAACGCAAACTAATTTATACATTTTTATGGAATCCTAGGGGGAAAAACATGACATCATTGTGGCACATGACACAAGCATAAACAAATATATATCTAAAGGAAGCATTTTAAATCAATACATGTTTATATTTGTCATCACTTGCAGTGATGCCATACAATGATTTAAGCCTTATTCAAATATCAGATTACATATAATGTAGTCTGTTTCATCTCGCACGGATTATGAGGACAATGGCCGACATAGATTTATATCCCCCCACTGCCACACTAAACACTCCCTGTTTAGAGAACCCACACCGTTATTGTGAGTAATACAGCAGGATTTTTGGCATGGATTATTGTTTGGAATGTCAACTGATATCTTGTTAAAATCCCAAAACACAATCTCTGCCTAAATAAATAATAATACATAACTAGAAATGTGTCATTTAAATTCAAACATGACATAAATGGGCCACTGTCTCATCACATTAATGAATCAATTAATACTATATTTAAAAAATAAAATAAAACAGAGAATGTCGTTAAATTAACAGCTCCTCTGAATAATAAACAACTTTCTAAAATGTTCCAGGGGAGGGTGGGGGGGCAGTGACCTCTAAGGATACGAATGGCCAGCTCAACTATGAATAACTATGTATTTTTGTCAATTGGTGCCAGGTTTTATCAGAGCTATCCCACTAAAAACAGGATCTACTGGAAACAAGGTGGACCAAAACAGTGAAGCTGAAAACATTATTTTCATTACAATTGGGTGTTCCAAATCAACAACTATCAAGGCCAATGTGAAAACAGCGTAGAATGTGGTAATGACAGCTCAGCAAGAGAAAGCTCTGACGTGGTGAACGACAGAAACACCTCTCCACAAAGAGAGAAGGAGGGTGATTTTGCATCAGGTAGCTACTATAATAATGATTTCAATAAGTACAAAATACCTTTATTTGATTTCCATAATTGTAGCAGAACGCTTTGATGCCCCGTTTACATGGATACGGTTCGGGTTGTATCTGCTACTTTTCTCATGAGGCCGTAACGGAACCGCAGAAAAGGACCCCTCAAACGATAACGGGTCCCAAGGTGGGTAGATCTGCGGACGGAACGCTCTGGGGAGCCAAGCGGCTCCGTGTGTACGTTCCTATATGATCATTTTCCTGATAACGATGGCGAGCCCCAGCTGTTGGCTATTTTTGGGAATAAAACTTGCAATTTCTTTTTTGTCAATAGGTTTCTAAATGGAGATAAGCCCCTCCGAAGCTTCTTGTTTTAGTGACGCGGCTGAACACAAGCAATGCAGCGGTTAAACTCGCAAAATGCAAGAGGAATCTTCGCCTCGTGTCTGATGTGAATGCACCATCAGAGTATTAAAGTATTGAGAATATTGAAAGAAGTCTTAAGAATATTTGTATGGGGAATGCACCAATATATATTTACATATATGAGCCATCAACTTGCATAGACTATGACTGATGTAATCGTGTTGACTTACCAACTGTAGTGAATACAGTGCAGCAGAAGAACAAGGAGCCATAAAAATCCCATTTTTTTGGAGACTGGAGCCATGTGGCCTTCAACCCACGCATCTGTTCCTCCAGCACTAAAGAGACGTTATCTGAATCTGTAGAGAAAATAAATAGATATTTGGTGTAGAACAAATCATTCATTAAATAAAGTTAGTTGTTAAATGCTGTTTAATAAAGATACACATGACTAGGTCCCAATTCATAATTTTGTTTTAAATATATATACACAATTGAAAAGTTTGGTTGCACTGAAAAAACTGAAATGTTGACTTCAACTAAATGTATTATGTCAACAAATTTCACACTACAATATTAAGTTTAAACGATTCAAGGTTAGTAGGTTCAACTTAATATTTTTAGTGTGAACAATGAAATTGGATGCTCACAGAACAGAAACTTACTGCTGAGGTTCTGGACAGTGGTGACGATCTGCTGCAGAAACTGCTGGTACTCCTGGTTGGGAGGGTCCAGGTTCCCTCCTTCGATGTGCTCGAACAGGAGCGCCCCCAGAGCAGCGTAGGCCACAAGAGACAGGCACAGCAGGAGGTGAGGGAACATCTTCCAGAACCGAGCCGCGCATTTTCTGCTCTCGGCCTTAGCACTTAATCCTTTCTTTATTGCCACAGACATCTTCTTGTTCTTCTTGTTCTTCTTCGTCCTCCTTCTCTGCCTCTCTCACCTCCTCTGCCTCTCCCACCGCAGGCTCAGCCACGTGGAGAGCAGCTTTGTGCCGTCTGTTGGCTGCCACTCAGTAAACACACACTATCATCCTAACACACATTACACAGGCCTCCTGGGAGTGTGTAACTGACGCTCTCATCTATTACTCCCATCTCTGACTGCCCAACAGAGTCAATTACGCCATCATCATTGATTATTGATTATTATTATGTAGACAAGCTTCAGCCAGAATAATCAACTAGTGACATAGGAGCCAAAATGCGTATTTGGCCTGTATTAATTATTAGGGTCTGAGACCTAGGTCGGCGAAGACCGATAAACCTGCGAAAAACACCCAAAACAGGGAAAACGACCGGCAAAAGCACAGAAAAGGTTCGGAAATCATGACGGCTGATAGGGTGTTGTCGTAATTCAATGGAAAATCGTCCAAACGCCACCAGACTTCAGACTATCATTAATGGTCCGGCCCTCAACAGCTCTATGTCAATTATGGGATGTCATCATACGCCCTCGCCATGAAACACGGTGTTCTCCTAATTCAATGGAAAATCGTCCAAACGGCACCAGACTTCATATGATGGCTAATGGTCCGGCCCTCAACAGCTCTCCACCAATTATGGGACGTCATCATATGCCGTTTCCATGGCAACGCCTCCCTCGCCAAAAAATCTGGTGTTGTCGTAATTCAATGGAAAATCGTCCAAACGGCACCAGACTTCAGACTATCATTAATGGTCCGGCCCTCAACAGCTCTATGTCAATTATGGGATGTCCTCATATGCCGTTGCCATGGCAACGCGTCCCTAGCCATAAAACACAATGTTGTCTTAAGTCAATGGAAAATGGTCCAAACTGCACCAGACTTCAGACTATCATTAATGGTCGGGCCCTCAACAGCTCTACGCCAATCATGGGATGTCATCATATGTCGTTGCCATGGCGACAGATCCCTCACCATGAAACAGGGTGTTGTCGTAATTCAATGGAAAATCGTCCAAACGCCACCAGACTTCAGACTATCATTAATGGTCCGGCCCTCAACAGCTCTACGCCAATTATGGGATGTCATCATATGCCGTTGCCATGGCGACAGATCCCTCGCCATGAAACACGGTGTTCTCCTAATTCAATGGAAAATCCTCCAAACGGCATCAGACTTCAGATGATGGCTAATGGTCCGGCCCTCAACACCTCAATATGACAATAGTGAGTTTTCCTCAAAAGCTGTTGCCATGGCAACGCTTCCCTCGCCGTTAAGCACCATATTGCTATAAGTCCTGTGAGAATGGTAAAAAACTGTTCAAGCTTTACATGTGTGCTAACCGTGAAGCCCTCGAGACATATATGTGTCAGTTTTGAGATTTCGTCAAATGTCGTTGCTATGGTAACAAAATGGTCGCCGTGAAACACGGTTTTCTCATAACTCCAGTTAACATGCTCCAAACGGCCCAAAACTTCACAGGTTTGATAACGATGCAGCCCTCAACACAACTAAGCATATTATGGGGTGTCATCAAATGTCGTTGCCATGGCGACAGATCACCCGCCATCAAACACAATGTCTGTGTTACTGCTGTAACTCAAAGACATTGTCCGATCGGCCTGAAACTTCCCACGTTTGCCAACGGCCGAGTCCTCGAGACATCTGCCTGACGTCGACAACAGCCTGCGGAGCGTCGAAGACCCGCTCAACGCTGCTTGCAGCTTTAATTTAAATTATAATCAATATTTGTTTAGACTACACACGTTGTAGTCTACATGTTTATATTTTCGATAAAAAAAATAATGATCTGTGATTACTCACCATTACTGACAAGTTTAAAAAAAGTTTTCTTTTGTATTTTGGGGAGAGAAAAAACGTTCGGTGATGTAATAAAGAAGGAGCGGGACAAACTGGTCAGAGAATTCAGTTTTTTTTCCAGATGAATTGCAAGAATTAAGGTTTAACCTTGAAAACCCTTATTTTGTTATCATCAATTGCCAGTAGGAGTGGTTTCATGGTATTTATTCCACCTGTTCAGAAGTATACCGGGCTAGCTATGCCATGATGTGTTCAGGTCCTGCTTTGGTGATTGCTCATTGAATTTTCTATATTCAGCATCATATTTTTCAACCTGCCACGCTAACGAGCCTAATATAGCCTCTTAGATAATTTTATAGGAAGTTCAGTTGTTTAAGACATCATAAGAGATCAGCTTTAGCACAGAATTCTTAATTTTTTACTTTATTATAAAAAATATTTGTAATAAGACATTGTTTCGACAACATAACAGTTAGTTATCAGATAATATCAGAGAATAAAAGCAATAGCAAAACAGTTTAATATGCATATTTTCTATAAATAGCATCTTCCATTGCAATGTTTGTAACTAAACCACAGGGGTGGACAGGTCTGTCGGGCTCCAGCAGAACATTAACTGTACTCCGATCCAATGTTCCTATGGAGGTCTCACTGCAACTGCAATTATTCCTCCTTAATCTCTAGAAACACATGGTCTTGCCCCCTGTCGTGCCCCCAGGGAAAACAGGTGCAGTATGATTGCTACATTTAGTAAACCATGTGAGGGCCATTGTGAGTCAGAGAACTGGGACCCCACTCTGTGGATACTTTGACATGGTTCAATAAACAGGCCGAAGGATTCTTTTTGAAATGCTACGTTTAACTTTTAAATCATTAAAGGTAAAGTTACCCCTTTAAAAGTGCACTGAGCTTCCAGGGAAATACTGAACCAAAGACAATCTATCCTTGTGCTTCATTTTGTGGTCGGAAATGAGTGTCATGATGTGATATATATTTTTATAAATGGCCCAAAGTGTGATCAAACACCAGCCATAATAACACCTGGTTACATTAAATGAAAGTCTCTCTAATGTATAGAGGTTGTGATGTGCTGGATCATGTCATATTTACTTTTGATCAGCAAAGATTAACTCCCTCTGGAGGGAACACAGGGATTTTAGCCTTTGCAGACTATTTACATGCACAAGAACCTATAGAACACACCACAGGAGAGTAAAAACCCCAAAAAGCATAATGAGGCCCCTTTATAAAAGTAGCAGCATTATGAGGTGAAAATACAAAGTGACTGAAGTAGCTTCTAGTAATAACACTACTAAACTACTAAGCATATGTGTACATTTCAATAAGCAGTGGTCCAGGGAATGTTGGCTTCTCACTGGAACAGTGTTTCTGCTCAGCATCACTGGAATAAACATCGTTGCTGCGATGTGGTAAAATAAACAGCCGAGTCACGGTGCTCTGGTCCCTGTTCATCACTAACAGCAGCTCTTCAGAGGCTTGTATACAGAACATGTGCTCGACAAAGCTTTTAAAGATTCAGTCAGCTGTGTTTGTGTTACTGTGACTTATTCTGAGATACAAGGTATGCTAAATCACTGATGACTCTGTTTATGTGAGGCCCATTTTTCAAGACCACCCCCGCTAAGGGGAGCATCCCACCACTTCGGCAAACGTTACCTACAAGCAGAGGTGTAAAGTAACTAAGTACATTTATTCAAATACTCTACTTAAGTACAATTTTAAGCTACTTGTACTTTACTTGTGTATTTCAAATGTCTGCTACTTTGTGCTTCTACTCCACTACAATTCAGAGGTAAATGGTGTACTTTTACTCCACTACATGTATTTAATACCTTTAGTTACTTTACAGATCTGGATGAATGATGTGAAATATAACCAAGTGTTAAATCAGACTTTAGTTCCACCTGGAGTAAATTCACAAGCTACCCTGCAGTATACAAAGTCATTCAAACTAGCTGCACCTTTACCAGCTTTGAGAACACTTTCATGATCAATCATTATAAAACATATCATATATATTATTGATATGTTATTATTATGCACAATGACTACTTTTACTTTTGGTACTTATACTGATGATAATACTTTTCTACTTTTACTTAACACTTTGAATGCAGGACTTTTACTTGTAAAAGAGTATTCCTACACTCTGGTACTTCTATTTTTAGTGGACCTATCATGCTATATTTGAATAATATAGTGTAGGACCATACCTATATAAGGCATATTTAACAGATCATGCATTTTAGCCATTCCTCATTTCGCTCAATTTAACACTGTCTTTGCATGGGCTAATTCTGTGAGAACAGCACCATCTACAGGCCTGGCATATGTACTACAGCGTCTCCAGCTCTTTCGAACGGCAATGTCCGTGGCTGTCTCCTCCTGATTGGTGGAGTTGGCCCAACAGCTGTAGCGCCACTTATGTGACGTCAGAGAAGTGTTCAAATCTGGATCAGTCTGTATCAGATCCGTTGCAGCCACTTTTTAAGAGATTTGGGTATGGAGGAAAATAGAGAGGGTTGTGTTTTCTGACACTTGGTGAGTTCCCTGGAACACCGGGGACACATATTCATGTATAAAAGACGTACAAAAGTGCATTTTGCATGATAGGTCACCTTTAACTTTAACAGTTGAGTACTTCTTCCTCCTCTGCCTATAAGTTCTCTAAATGTTTAAAAGAAAACGTTTTAATATTCAAAGAGTGTTTTAAGGATGTTCATTATTCAAAATAATGTTGATGTTAACGTTTTAGATGCAACATTCAGAGGATGTTTTGGAGGATGCTGTTAATGGATGCTGTTTTTCTTGCTGTGAATCCTTGCAGGCAGGGGCGGGACTTTATTTAGCTGAGCCACCATGCGGCCAATCATATTCGAGGACACACTAGGATCATACCATTATGTGAAAGAAGGGTGGGGGACAGACGCTCCAAAGACAGCAGGTATGGTGGTACAGGCCAGCTACACAGAGCGACGGGGAGACGGATTTAAATGCAAGCGCTTCGGAAAAAGTCAAGACATTTGCGAAAACAGAAAACAGAAGCAGCATCTGGCTGCAGTTCAATGATATTGAAAGAGAAAGAGAAAGCAAAGCTGAGTGCAGGATTTGTAAAAATGAAAATAAC